CTGCACTCCAGTCTGGGCGACCGAGTGAGACTCCAACTCAAAAAAAAAAAAAAACATGCTATTTAATCAAGGCCCCTAAGCTACTGCCTAGAGAGAAAAACACTTTTAAACGGAGGCCTCTCCTCAGGGCTAGGTAGCAGAATTACACTCCTGCTTGCTTTTCTTTTGTTAGCCTGACTTTTGAGTTCCACTGAGTATCTCAACTAAGGACCAAAAAAGGGAAAGAAAGGAAATTATGTTTTCCCTTACACTGTGAATCTAAAAACTGATCTAAACAATAAAACTAAATAAAATACAACCTTGGGGGTAGAGACAAGCATTTTTAATTCACATATATGTATATATTTATTATAATTATCACTACTTTTTAATTTTAGAAAAGCTTCTTGGTGAACCTAATGGGCAGCAAGGGCTGGAAACCATTGCTATACTACAACCCACTTGACTGAGAGTTCAAAAAATGAAGGGCTACCAGGATTCGATTGTTTGCCTGAAGTGATGGGCAACAGGTGGAACCTGAGGGACTCCAGCCTGGGCTTCCGGTTTCTAGTCTGGTGTCCTTTCCACCAAAACACCCGGCAAAAATAAGATAGAGTTTGTGCTACCATTCTAGACCTTCCTTGTCTTGTTTTCACAGGACTCTTCTTTGCGTGAAATCTGTGTCATCATCCTCCAGACTAAAGAGAGTAGGAGTAAATCCATTCCTTCCCCTGGGCTTTCCATTTCCTCCTCACCTTAATCGCCCTTATCTAGGGACCTCATCTGGTCTCGCAATCCCTCCCTCACTCCACCGCTCTCCTTAACACACCTTATACTCCAGGCAGAAGGGCAGCACTGCCCAAACCAAGTTTTCATCCAGATATAGCTCAGTTAACATGGTTTCTGCCAGCCCACCTCCACGTGTAAGCGTGCATCTTTTGGAGACCAGCTTAAATGGTACCTCACGTCTCTTTCTAATTCTCTCCTTCTAACTAGATTCTTTCATCTGAATTTTCTAAGCATTTTTTAAACTATATTTTTGTGTGGCACTTATGTTTGCCTAACATCAGACTTATTAATGAACTTGCTTATCTGCTGTACTAAATTATAAGTTTCCTATGGGCAAGGATAGGATATTGCTTATTTTTATTAAGTCGCGAATGAGGCTCAAGTCATGGAAATAAAAACCATTCTGCACAGAGGGAACCCAAAAACAAAATTAGTATTTCTTCTGAGTTCTAACTTTCAAGACCCAGTCAGGCAGCAGAAATAAAGCATTTTCACAAAAGTATTGTTAAAATATTAATCTAGTGCTTAGCTTCAGACTCACAATAATAATATTCTGACTTTTGCTCATTTTGTATTTATTTCATACAATGAAGGTAAGAAAGACTCAAGCCTTGGGTGGTGTGTAAAGTTCAGAAAGATCCTAGTCACAGGGGAGGCTTCAGGCTTGAGGAGAGGAGTCAGAGAACTCCAAAGACCTAGGATGAATCATCTAGTAATACTGTCTTTAAAAACATGTGCAGGGACAGTCTGAATACTCTGGAGAACACATGCCAGCAAAAACAGTCACTTTCCCCCCACCAAAATCTTCATCAGGGGGAGCCAGGCAAGCAATCTAAGACTTCACAATCAAGGATGAAATGACCACAGTGCCCAGTTTATATCTAGAAGATGATATAGGATTAGACTACCTTTTTCTTTAGCCTGTCTTTTTCTGAGTCACTACGCTTGGAAATGCAGCAGCTATGGGAATTTTTTATTTTTAAACGCATTAATTTACGTGCATTCTAAAAAGGATACTGAGGGCAAATAACTTTTTTCTTTTTCAAAACTGAAACTTTGTAAGAAGGCATTCTTCTCTTCTATCCATAAAATGATAAAATTTTTGCAAGTATAGAAATATGAGATAAATTATACAGAAGTCTTTAATTATACGATGCACCTTGGTACTTCCCCCCTAAAAAAATGAGAGAAAACTAAACATATATATATATAAACTATATATATTTATATAATATAGATAAACCAAATATGAAAAAAACTCATTTCCTCTTTGGTATAAATCTCAATCTCTTACCTTGAGACACACACAAACAGACATGATATTGGGTTTGTAAACTGTGTGGCCAAAAGGGATTTCCCTGTCAAGATTTCCCCTTCTCCATCCCCTGCCCACCCACCCCCGCGCTTCACTGCAGCCCACCTCTAGTGCCCCACCCCCACCCCAGCTCCACGCCATTCCTGAAGTATCCCCCCACTCACTGGCAAAGAAGACGAAAGGATTCTTTCCAAGGCTGATTAGGCAGCAGCTAGCCTGGGAAACGCCTCATTTGGGAAGAGTTTCATTGGCGTGGAAGGTGGAAAGAAAGGACCAAGCCAGGCACTGAGCAGACAGCATCCTGGCCTGAGCCAGGTTGAGAGCAAATAATTTTAAAAAGTTATTTCTGATACATTCTTTGCTGTACTATCATCTGTACAAATGTCACACCATGTAAACTCAGGAAAACAGGCTGCAGATCCCAAGAAACGACTCACCTTATTGACAAGCGTATATAAGGCTTTGTCTTGTGCACCGTATTTTAGGCACTGCCTAATCCAGGTGTGGATAGTCCAGTTTCTCAGGTACCAGCAGTTGGAGCTGTGTCGAAATCTAAATAACACACAGAGAGAGACAACTAGTGTTAACCCTTAAATGTCAATGTCAAAGCGCCTCTTCTACCAGCAGGTCCTCCTCTCAGACATTTACAGAACGCAGTGTGACCAACAGTCATAAAAGTCAGCAGCTGATTAAACTTGAGAACGAAACTCTAACCAAAGTCGGAAACAGAAAAGAGAAAGTAAAGTAACAGATCACAAAAAAAAATTACAAACCCCACTGCAATATCTTGTTTTGATGGGAGATTTATAAAAAATGATTTGGGAAAAATATTCTACTCACCATGGCATTATACAAACACATACTGTGTTGGGAGAGGTAAAGCTGAAGCAGATGCTTTGGAAGTTTAAAATAAAACAGATGAGGAAAAAACGAAAAACAGAACAGCACAGCAACTCCACAGAGGAAAATCAGCTTTGAGGAACAGTGATATTTCTTGGGGCATTCAGGAGACACTGGGACACTCTTCCCAGAATCAAAAGAAAACAAATATAAATAAAGTCCGAGCGAGATTAAACACCCGCCTCCTGCAGAATCCACGATCCCGCTGCCTTCTTCACAGCGCCGCCGTCCACCCCTCTAACTGCCTACAACTCCCCACGGGGTCCACAAGTCCGGAGCAGCCCAAGGCGAGGCCTACACAGGGAGTGTTCCCCCCGAGCAGGGGTACCTGGAGAGGAGTTCCCAGGGCTGCTCTTGACTGGCTCACACACTCTGCTAACACCCAGGGTGGAGGCTGCTTCTCTTGGCTGCGGGGGGCCCATGACAGAGACACCCACGGACAGGAGAGGTGGGGCCGTGAGGCGCGGGAGTACAGGGCTTTGTGGTCCCTCTTCTTGTCCAAGTGTGCTGAGGAGGGTAGAGCCTCACACGTTGGATCAAGGCGGCCTGAAGTCCCCAGTCTCTGGGTCTCCCCAAAACTCAACTCTTTTCTTACAAAGAAAAAGGCAAAACGTGGTGCTCAAGGATTCTGTGACGTATTTGAGAGTCGAGGACACAGACTAATACTGGCGGTTTTTAGAGGCTGATGATTCAGTCTGTCTCCTGCTATTTCCTGCCATCTGCTATTGGGACAGTTTCCTCCTGAATAGGTTCTCTGCCAAAGTAATAGCTGAGAAAAGAAGAGGAAGCGAGAAATAGTATTTAATTTAGGCTACCTATTAGTGTTCTGGTAACAGATTTAGCAAAAATAAGGTCTGAAGATGTTTTATGAATTAGGGTTATCTGAGCCTCCTCATTTTTGGGGGATATCTTAGGTTTTGTTGGAATATTTTTTTCATTCTATTTTTTCCCTATAAAATCAGCCCCTTTAAAATCAGAAAGATAAAAATATGACAAATTAAGTTCAGGATGAGAGCGACCTGACCAGAGAAAGGCACTATTATAAGTGCCCTAGACACTACATCTGATGAGATCATCTCACAGAAATGAAGCAAAATATGCCTTTTACTATTTCATGTTTTCCCTCACATTTTCAAATCAATAGTTGGGTTACTTGAACGTCTTTCCTTGTCGCTCTGAAAAATCTGAGCGTTAAAATGTCATGACCAATTAAACATTAATTTTATTTTTCAAAGAAAACAGTTCAGTGAAGTCCCAGGTGTGCGGTCTCAATGACAGTGGTGTTTCCTCATGACCCTGCATGCTCCCTGGGCAAGCAGGGACACCGACTGATGTGCTTAACACGAATTCCTGTACCTGACGTGATTCTTGGCCCATAGGAGGTTTGCAACAAATAAAAAAAGAGCTTCAATCAACACTGTTTTTTTGTTGTTGTTGTTGTTGTTTTTGAGTTGGGGGTCTCACTCCATTGTCCAGACTGGAGTGCAGTGGCACGCATGCTCACGGCCACCCCAGCGTCAACCTGCCGGGCTCCGGCGATCCTTCCGCCTCAGCCTTCCAAGTAGCCAGAACTGCAGGCGCGTGCCACCATGCCCGGCTAATTTTTTGATTTATTGCAGAGACAAGGTCTCACCATGTTGCCCAGGCTGGTTTTGAACCCATGGACTCAGGCAATCCTCGTGCTTCAGCCCCCAAAGTGCTGGGATTACAGGTTTGAGCCACCGTGCCCGGCCAACACTGTATTAAATGCTATTATGCACTGATTATTCTGTTAACCTCTACAGTATATATAAAGAATTGTAAATTCCCTGTTAGGAACATTAATAATCTCATTACCAAAAAAATGCACACATAGTTTAACAGTAATACAAGGTGAGTTAGAGGTCAAGGGGTTTTCTGGTAATTGTCATTGATAGGTTTCATCCATTTTTCCCTTAAAACAAAATATAAAATGACCACCACGACTTTTACCTAAGATTATTTTATTTTATTTTATTTTTTATTTTTTTGAGTTGGAGTCTCACTGTGTTGCCCAGACTGCAGTGCAGTGGCCGCTCCCAGTCACTGCAGCTTCCACCTGCTGGGCTCCGGACCTGCTGGGCTCCAGCGATCCTTCCACCTCAGCTTTCCAAGTAGCCAGAACTACAGGTGTGTGCTACCACTCCTGGCTAATTTTTTGATTTACTGTAGAGATGAGGTCTCGCCAAGTTGCCCAGGTGGGTCTCGAACCCGTGGGCTCAGGGAATCCACTCACCTCGGCCTCCCACAGTGTGGGACTACAGGCTGAGCCACCGAGCCCGACACCTAAGATCATTTTAAACCTAATCCTCATTTTAAAACGACTCACCCACCTCAGGATGCCTCCAATGGCCACTAAAGTTGTAACGTTTTGGGGATTATGGACTTTAAAACAAGAGCATCATGACCATTCTCAACTAACCACTTTTTCTCTTATTCAGACCGTTTTTAGACTTTTAAGAATAGTAAACATTGATAGTGAAAACCTAGCTACAGACCTTTATAGCTCAAATTAAAATTTATTTAAAGCCATTTGCTAACCTTCTAAGGCTAACTTCAACACGTGGAAGAACAGAAAAGTCTTCGTCTCAAAAGTCTCTCCTTCTCACACTTTATTTCTTAGAAGCCTAAAGGGAAATTACTCAAGACTTCACACATTAATATAATCAATCATCTTTGCACAGCATTCATTTGAGAGATTTGTCAAGAGACTCAGAGAGGTCTTTACTAAGCCCACTCCCTCTCCCATACTGGGACAGGGCTACTTGGTACGATCTCTGCTCTCTGAGACCTAAGAATCCAGATACACAACCATGTCTAGGACATTTCTAATGAACTCTCATAACATAACTAGCACAATCTCTGCACTTCCCAGCCAGGCAGCAAACAATTCCTTTTTATACCTTCATCAGTGTTAAAAGAGAAATTAGCACGTAGTTTGTATGTGTGGCTATCTGGATGGTGAGCTTCAGAAGAATTCCAGTCGATGACATTTTAAGCAGTTCAGACAAATAAACTTTGGTCCTTTTTCGAACTCCCAGTAGTAAGATGACAGGCGGGTAAGCCTCTGCAATGGGTACTTGCCTGGAACGATTCCGGGGACTGCTGGGTGAGCACTCTCCCTTTCAGCCAGGAGAAAGGCAAAGAGAAAAGAACACAACTACCACATTGATTTTCCAATTTGCCTGCAAACACACTGGCTTTTGTTCTCGCCTGCTCTGACCACCAGCCTGGCAGATTACAGACGGCCACTGTAGGAGTCCCCTCTGTGCCCCTGTGCCATCGGCTGTTTGCTCACCTCGACAGAAGCTTTATTATTGCCTAGGCCATCAGGCTGCCAAGACAGGCAAACCGTGTGAGAGTGGAAAAGATAAACAAATGACACTCAATAACCCTAATGATGCTGTGCTCATGAAGGCAAGAGACGTGGTGAGCTTATAAAACATGAGTGAATTTTTAAAAAGTCTAAGGACATGTATGTTTCTTGGAGAAGGAAGGAGGCGGGGGGCAGGAAAGGAAGAAGGAAGATGTGTGCTCCCAGGCTCCAGCTCTAGTTGTACAAGTTGGTAGCCCATGGTTGGAGAGATCTTTGTCCCCAGTGCTGAGTGGAGTTTCCAGGTGCAGCCAAAGCTTGCCCAGGAAGCCAGATCACGGCCAATGGAACGGCAGGCACGGAGAAGCTGCCTCTCCTCAAAAATCAGGCATAATGTAGAATTCTTAAGGGCATTTGCCAGCACTTTGCCTGACATCATTCAAGAGTATCACCAGGAAAGAGGTATTTCTTAGCAGGGAAGAAAGGTTATATAAAAGAGATCAAGAGTGAAAAGAAAAACACCAGAGACTTACTGTGACTATATAGAAAGTACTTTACCTTCTTTTCACACTTTTATTTCTTAGAAGCTTGTTCTCTAAGACTGAATGACCCAGATAAACAATTGTGTCTAGGACATTTTCAATGAACTCTCAACGTTAAATCAATTTAGGAATAGCAGGATTAATTCAGAAATCACATGGGCTTTTCTATTTGTGACCGATGTCATCACTTATTTTTTTAAAAATAGGATACTGCCTTTCTCCTGGGAGTCCAAATAAAGGTTCTCTTATTGTTGAACAGCAGGAGTGGCGAGGCTCATCTCTCTCAGTATCATGAACAAAAACGCTCCAGGCTGAGCGAGCCCAGTGCACAGATGCCAGCGCCTGCAGCCAGCAGCGCACGGCTCCACCATTTAGCGGCAACACTGGCTCTTCCACATGGACGAGCAAGCTTTCCGCAACGTTTATCTGCTTATGGAGCCACCAACCTTAAACACACACATGCAGCTCTCCCTCCGCCCCAGTGAGCTCCGTACCCTGTGGCAACAGGGTTTACAGCTGGGGACTGCAGCGGCAGAGCTGGGCAGACACGGAGATGTGAGAGGGGGCCAGAGCAAAGGGAGAAAAGAAAGAATGACAAGAAAACATGGCTGGCTCCAAAGCCTGCAGTGTGGACTGGGAATCTTATAAATGAAGCAAAGTTTGCAATTATCAAAAGGGATGAGCGCTTCCTTGAACTAGAACCAAGGAGCAGGAACGCCGTGTGACACATCAAAATCTGATTCAATCACTGCTACCCACTTTCTCGTTCTAAAAAGACA